GGGGGGGGGGAGACTGTGCAATTTACAGACAATCTGTACAACTTGGCATACAGATCCAGTGCGGTTGTGGCGTTTTATAGGGGTGTAACAATACACTGATCCACTTCAATATATTTTATATGTTATTCTATTTTGTTAATGGACGTTTGCTGTTTTTCTGCTTCGCTGCCAACTTCGAGTGTGAAAATATGAGAAAACAGCTAATTAATTAATTTTATTTTGCCAGTGAGTTTATGTCAAAAAAGATCAAATGATTTTTTTAGATGTCTTCTGTAAGGACCATTCCATTGTTTTAATGAAACACACCCGGCAGTTCATAATAATTATTTGAAGTATGTCTCAGGCTGGTGTGCAGTTCAGAAGGCCTTAAGATTTTGACAGCACACATTCGCCAATGTTGGATACAAACAAGATATTGTTTTTGCAGATAAATAAAATTAAAGGAACATAAAAAAACAGGAGTCTGAGAATTTGTCAACAGCGAGTTAAACTCTTAACCTGCTGTACCCATGATTTACAGGGAGTCACATCATCTCATCCATTTTTGACAATTAAAAAAAGGAAAAAATGACTACTACTTTGTTTTCCAATATTGGTTCTTGGAAATGAGATACCAAAAAAATGCACAGACAGCTAAATCACAAAATAAACTTGTAATAGTTGTTTTGTATGTTCTCTCTCCATGTATTTTTAGGGTCACACAGTTACCCCAGGGTTACTCTGAGTTCCTTCTACCAGTTATGTTGATATGTTGACATGCATGGAAGTGAATAAGTTTTACCTTACAGGGGACACCATCCAAAATATATAATTTTAGCCAATAAATACATTTTGTTGAGTAATTAGAGTAGGAGTGCAGAAAAGTTTCATTCAGTCTCTTCTCAGCACATTCCCAGTCCTCAGTACCCCCCTTTCATCATTTTTTGATGTGCAGGATGCTCTTATTGAATGTTCCCTAAATGTTGGAAACTGATGACACGAGAAAGAAAAGTAGCAGTCCGTTCTCATATTTTGAAAAGCTTATAAAATGTAATGCACAGATGATACATAAGGCAGCTCAGAAAACATCTCAGGTCCAAGAGAGTCGTGGAAACAGGGGTGAAACCAAGGGAGGAGGCGGGAGCAGAGGCGGAGTCAAGACAGGAGGAGGGAACAGACGAGGAGTCAAGGCAGGAGGCGGGAACAGACGAGGAGCCAAGGGAGGAGACGGGAGCAGACGAGGAGCCAAGGGAGGAGACGGGAACAGACGAGGAGCCAAGGGAGGAGACGGGAGCAGACGAGGAGCCGGCGGAGGTTGCTGGAGCCAGAGCGTCAGCGACAGTGAACGCAGGCGACAGAGGAGATGAGGAGGCGATGGACGATGACCCTCGAACCACCAGGACCACTGAGACCTCCCACTCCGGGACCACTGAGACCTCCCACTCCAGGACCACCGAGACCACCAACTGTGGAACTACCTACTGTAGAACCACCGGGACCACCAACTCAGGAACCACTGTGACCACCAACTGTGGAACTACCTACTGTAGAACCACCGGGACCACCAACTTAGGAACCACTGTGACCACTGACTGTGGAACGACCGGGACCACCGACTCAGGAACCTCCGGGACCACCGACCCAGGAACCGCCGGGACCACCGACCCAGGAACCGCCGGGACCACCGACCTAGGAAATGCTGGGACCACCGACCCAGGAACCGCTGGGACCACCGACTCAGGAACTGGGACCATTAAGTCAGGAAGCTCAGGAAACGATTCAGAAGGCCCAGCAGACTCAGGAGGCCCAATAGTCAGAGGGGTGGGAGGGTGTGCACCAGAACTTTCAGCCAGGACCCTCCGAGCATAACTGAGGACCCTTTGGTGGCCAGGCAGGAGCAGCAGGTCTGGACGTCCAGCCAAGACGTCCTCAATCTGCTGGCAAAAAGGCAGCTTACCGGTGAGGGAGGAGGTCCACTTGAGGATTGTCAGAGAGCCTTTAATCAGTGAGTGGGTCACCTGATCCTCCCACAGTGGCAGCAACGGGACCGGCTCCTCAGAGGCAGGGGGAGGAGAACACCGACTGAAGGTGAATGGTTGGACTGTCGAAGACCCAAAACGAAAGGTGGAAGGCAGTCCCGAAAAAGAAAATTTGCCTGCAGGCTGGGTGTTTGTTGGTCCGTTCATTCTGTGATGTTGTAGCAAGAAAGGACCCATGGCTCAGACAAAACTCCAAAAAAGGTATTTTAATAAACCAAGGGAGGGAGGTTGTAGCAGCAAAACTTACATTCTTCAGGGAACAGCACAAGTAACACGGAGGATAACCACAACTGACCGTGTAGACGGTACAATGAATGGACACAGACTGAGGATAAGACACCAAATATAAAGGCAAACAAATTAAGAGACAATCGGAAACACCTGGGGAGACACAAGAAGGATCAGGTGTGAGAGGGTGGGGCTGCATGGCAGTGAAACACAGGGAAACACTGAAAACACTAGAAAACTAAGGAGAAATAAACACAGACCATGACTATATATATATATATA